TAGGAGCGGAGGTCTCTGGGACCATCAATGGAGAAGAGCCGAGAGCGGGACCCTACCCAGAGAAGCAGCGAGGCCTGAGATGGAGACAGAGACGATGATGTGGAGTGATGAAGCGGCTGGGGACTTTGGCTCCAGAGAGGGAGAGGGACTGTGTGCTGAAGAATGGGGGGTGGGGGGTGTAGGGGGCGGGTTTATGGGGTATACCCTTTGGTCGGTTGATGATGCATGGAAAAAAAAGAAACCTACATACTCCTTGGACTAGTGATCTTGGACTCTGGACATTCTCTATCTTCTGTACATAGATAGAACAAGATTGCTCATAACTTAGTGAAGTCAAAGCATCATAACAAAAGCACTTCCCATCATTTTATTGGTTAACTTCCACTGATACACTCTCAGAAAGGCCACTTTATAAGGATAAGCAGAGTCTTCAAAAACAAATTATCTAAGACCATAATCATGAAACAGATTAGAAATCAATTTAAGAAAAATAGCCAATGAAATACTTCCTCTGGTTATTAGACAGTTTTAAGTCAGAATGTGTAAAGTGGAACTGTGCTGCAGAATAGGGATTTCCTCAGACTTTGGTGCTGCTAGAACTCCTTGGTTACCTTCTGTGGGCCACCTCCAGTTTTCCTGATGGAACAATTATCTTCAAGTCTCTCAACATATTAAAAAGTATGTACAGGTTTAACACAGACCTACCTTGACTATTACTCAAAATCTGAATAAACATATAATGAAGGACAAAAGTACAATGGAATTTATTTCTAATACTGGTATGCAAAAATGGACTAATATTCATGATACAAGTGTATACTATTATTTTTAGTATTTTTTTATATCTGCCCCGCTTCCCATGCTCCACTTGGATATCTTAAGGTATATTCTAACACCACTCAGTAACCTCCAGATATTAACGTTAGCCCAAGCAGTATAAAGTTAAATTCTAAGTGCAAGAGTAAATACTGATTCTCTGTGCAGATGGTCAATGTACTTGAGATAAGTTTGAAATAATGTGCTAGGGATGATAAAGACTTGTTAAGGTCAAAAGAGAAATACTTAAGTGTCAGTGGAAAGTATTCATAGAATAGATGTTCAGAGCTGGAAAGATACTCTTTTCGAAGAAATTGAAGCCCAAATTACTTGTTTACAGCCATAAATAGCATATCTGATACTAGTACCCAGATCTCCTGGCTCCCAATGACTGAACTTTGCAGGGCAACACCAGGAAGTTCCTGCTAATTGCTTCTTTTAATCTTTCTACATTTATAAAAAAATGTCTAAATACTTTCTGATGCTCAAGGAGAGGGAATCTCTGGTTAATCTGCAACTAGCAAATCACTGTTTGAGGAGGCTGAATTTAACCTTGCGCCACTAATTAATACTAAATTTCAGTACTTACACACAAGTTCCTTTATTAATCAGTCCTTGTTTATATTTGGGAAATTTCAAGGCAGTTTTTTTTGTTGTTGTTGTTCTTGCATATAGGAATATGCTTAGAAATGAGTTATCAAATTTTTTTTTATACGGTTATCTGTGGACACATATTAAAATATATCAAAATCTATGTAAATAAACTGTGTTTCAACAGAGCTGTGCTGTGTAAAGAATAAATACACAGTTGAATTTCCTTCCTTGTACTGAGACTTCAAAGGAGCTCTGGTAGCGTAGTGGTTACGAATCGGGCTGCTAACCTCAAGGTCGGCAGTTTGAAACTACCAGCTGTTCCGCCTGAAAAAGATGAGGCTTTCTGCTCACGTAAAGATTTACAGCCTCGGAAACCCTGTTCAGGGTCACTGAGTCGGAACCAACTTCACGGTACTTAACAACAACAACTGAGACTTCAAACAAGAGGAGTCCTCAACCAAAACAGAGAATATAGTATAGAAGCTGGAAAAATTGACTGTCTAAACAGGATTAATTGAATGAAGAAGGGGAACAAGGCAATACAAAGACTAAACAAAAAAAAATTTGTACATTCAGAGTTCATAAGAGAAACATTAAGAACTTGTAAGTTTTACACCCATATTGGCTAAAGCTATAATGTGATACCAAACAAACACATAAAAACGTAGAATTCTTCAGATTTTTCTTACATAATTCAACTAAGAAAATCCTCAAAGTTCCTTCTTCACAAAAACAGATAACCAGTGTTTTTATTCTTAAGCATGCTTTGGGTGAACCCCAAGCCTGAGACTATAAACTCAGTGTGTCTAGCAATCTCAGTTGGTTCTTCATTTTGTTTCTTGCCACAGAGATGAATTCTTCAAGAACAGGTGTTTCTTGAATGCCATTAAGGACAGGATAAGGCAGAAACAGGTTCTCTTAGCTCTCACACAAGACCACAAAAGTCCTATACTTAAAACGGGTTTGTAATTGAATTTAAGTCCTGATATTCAAATGCCATGTTCTAATATTTGAGAACTATAACTTTTTTTTCCCTCAACCCTTGAAAAAGGGGTTTCAAGTACCTAAGTAACATGTGAAAGCAGAACTTAGCTCTGGAGTTTATTGGTGGTGGTGGTTACGTGCCGTGGAGTCAGTTCCGACTCACAGCAACTCTGTACTAGGTTTCTGAGGCTGTAAATCTTTATGGGAAGAGAATGCCTCATATTTAGCCCACAGAACATCTGGTAGTTTCGAACTGCTGACCTTGAAATTAGCAGCCCGATTCATAACTACTATACTACCAGAGCTCCTTAAAAGGTATTAATTATTTTAGGGAAGAATTTCTCAACTTGTTTAGATTTATATCTTAGCTATTAGTTTCCAGGAAAAACAAAACAAAACAAAAAACAAGGGGAGAGACAGTAGATGTTGCTCATCTCCCCTGAAATTATTTTTCATTTATATCCTGATCACCTACCTTTTACAGAAACATACAGAAACCTTTTCCACTCTCCACAAATATACTTGCACCCCCCTCCATTCTTCTCATCAAAAACGGACAGATATAAGATAATTCAAAATGTTCCGATACATCCATCATATGGTCTTGATGTATTTCAGCTTTCTAACAATTATCTGGGTTCTGGGACTCCTGGTGTGGATTAGGATTATCACTGGATTGTGAACGACAAGGTTGGTAGTTCAGACCCATCAGCTGCCCCTCAGAAACCCTATACAAGGTCACTATGAGCTAGAACCAACTTGACGAAATTTAACAACAACAACAACAAAGCATAGTGGGTTATGAATTAAGCTGCAAACAGCAATGCCAGCAGTTCAAATCTACCAGCTGCTCCACTGGAGAAAGATGAGGCTTTCTGTTCCTATAAAGATTTACAGCCTTGAAAACCCAATACAGTCAGAACTGTCTCCACCGTACACAACAACCACCACCACCAAAATATTTTAAGTTTACTATGTGGCAAGTGTGGGGATGAAAAAATGAGTAAGTTCTGAAGGGACTACCATTATAACACCAGCTGCAAATGGATATCATCAATTCAAGCTCAAATGACAGTGAGGGGACTAATAGGCCACTGAATGGGGCATAATGTGGTTAATGACTGCCTAGACTGCAGCATCCTGAATGATTTGTCGGCTACCCAAAGTCGTCTCCTTTTCAATCTGTCCTGCATTCACATAACAGAGTCTGGTAGAATTACAATTTCAAGCAGTCTCACCTCTACTCAAGAAGCTACAAAATTTCCCCACTACCTCACATCTAGACTCAACTCCTCTTCCATTTAGAGTCTAGCTTCACTTACTTATTCAACTTTATCTCATGCTCAAGGTGGCTCCCTCGTGCCAATCTTTTTAGAAGGTGGCTACCACCTCCAAATTTAAGAAGCCCTGATTGCAAGCTGGGCTGCTAAGGCAAGATCAGCAATTCAAATCTACCAGCAGTTCCGCTGGAGAAAGATAAGGCTTTCTGCCCCTGTAAAGATTTACAGCCTCAGGAAACAAACATCGCTCCTCCAAATCTAACTCAGCTACCTACTCTAAACCCTCAGGTAAACTCAATTCTAAGCAGCCTTAAAAAGAAAAAAGAAAAAAAAATTTTCCCCCTATAATCAGTACAGATCTTATTTTTCAGGCGATCCCTTCAGAATTCGGTGTTAGCTTTCTTAACTAAAGGCAAGTATGGCCCAAGGTATTTTAATACTACCACTTCAAGCAGATGTTAAATTCCCAGTCATCCCATCGAGAAAGCTGAGGAGGTCACTTGCAATTTAAGGGTGGGATAGAGGGTATGGGCAACTGTAAACTATATAGAGGGGGGGAAAAAGGAAGGAGAAGGAAGAAGGGAACGTTTGTGTTCCGTACTTTTTGAGTCTTTTCTTTGGGAAGAGCAGGGTGAAGGCAGGTGAAGAGGAGCCCCCCAAAAAAAATTCTTTAAGAACTACAGAAGCCGAAGATGCTCCCTAAAGGAAATACGGACTGTGGTCATTAGATAACGGGAGGGTCTCCCATCATCCGCAGGAGATGACAGGTTACAACGTGAAACAAAGAGACTTGGAGCGGGGGAGGTGAGATTATAGAGATCCGGGCAACACCGAAGGAAATGAGAGGGGAACAAGACGCGTCCCTCAGGGGACGAGCAGAGCACCGGGGATACGGTTGCCAAGAGGGGCGAGGTAGGTGCCAGAGAAAGCTCAGAAGGGAGCGTTCATGAGGCATCGCTTCTTCGGAGGTGGGGAGGTGTTTGAGTAAGAGCATCTCCCAAAGAGAGAAACGGTTTTCCAGGGCAGCGATCGCAGTAAACGAAAATCCTGGGCACGCAGAAAATACCTAAGCGTTGAGGCACCGGCATTTCCCAGTCCTACCCGGCTTCCCCTCACACTCACCGTGTCTTCTCCAGACGCCGCCGTTTCAGCAGAAACTACCGGCCCGCGCAGCCGCACTAAGCACGCAAGGACCCACGTGACTCGCCGGCGCTCCGCCCCGCCTCCCACGTGACTCATGGAGCCCACCCACTCCCTCCAGCTCGCCCCTCCCTCTTCTAACGTCTTCTTCACGTGCTTTGAATTCGCCCCTCCTTGCTTGACAAGATGGCTGTACCTATTTGTACTTCGCGTCTCGGAGTCTGGGGTACTGGTCAGCGTTCGAGGAATCTCTTCATTTTCATTTCAAAGCTATTTTGTTCCGCCGCCACTGCCTCTAGGCCCCTAAATGCCCAGAGATTAGCGGAGAGGCTCCGAGCACAGAAACAGGAACAAAAGAAGGAGTCGGTGAGTCCTGAAGGGACCACAACTCCCAAGAGGCGTTGTTGTTGTTAAGTGCCGTTTTTTCCCACCGGGGTGAGGTAGCAGAATCTTCTGACCGGTATCTAGTAAATGTCCTGGACTTGTAATGGGAGAAAGGGGAGAAAACGGAAGAATACAAGGAGTACAGACAGACACGCACCTTTGTTCGCAATTGGTTTAATGCAAAACTACAGACATTTCGGTTCCCAAATTCTTACCTGCACTTTATTGAAGGCCTTTGCCAGACATTTTCCACTTCTTCTCACACACAAACACAAACATACCCCTACACCTCTGTCTTCCTCCGTTCCCTCAAGCCCATTGCCATGGAGTCGATTACGACTCATAAATTCTGTAGAACAGAGTAGAACCTGCTACATAAGGTTTCTGAGGCTGTAAATCTTTATGGACCAGAGACATCTTTCTCCCACAGAGGGTTTCAACTGCTGATATTGTGGTTAGCAGCCCAATGCTTAACTGACTACACCATAAGGACCCTCTTTTCTCTTTCTAGGTACTCACAAACCCTGTTCAACGGAGGGTACAAGAACTGTTGCGGTTCACCCAGCAGCTGCAGCGAGTCCACCCCAACGTGCTTGCTAAGGCTCTGAGCAGAGGGATTCTCCACCAGGACAAGGACCTTGTTATTATCAATAAACCCTATGGTGTCCCTGTACATGGTAAGGACCATGTGGGAAAGGGAGGGGTCTGCTGCTACTTTCTGCCATAACTAGGGCCAGCCTGGGTACATTCCCTACATTCAAAATTGTTTAAACCTACAAACATTAAAAATTTCCAAAATCAGTTATAACTAATGACTCCCATGACCTGCTTATGGCACTTAAGATATCAGGCTCAGACTCATTTTCCAAACTCTGTTGTAGCTACTGAGTTTCATGCACTGCCTGTGACACTGTTGTTGTTGTTGTTAAGTGCCGTCGAGTCGGTTCCGATCCATAGCGATCCTGAACAGAGTTTCCGAGGCTGTAAATCTTTACGGGAGCAGAAAGCCTCATCTTTCTCCTGCGGAGCAGCTGGTAGTTTTTAACTGCTGACCTTGCGGTTCACAGCCCAATTCGTAACCACTACGCTACAAGAGCTGTAGAGCATTAAATAGGAAGGCTTTTTGCTTGTGAAGGACACAGCCTTGCAGAGCTTAATTCCATTTTGTGTCCAAGTTACAGGTTCAGATGCCAATTTTTCTTTAAGTACCTCATGCACTTCTGACAGCTGAACTGCCAGAGTGAGAAACAGTATATTTAAAAGTAAACTTGGGACCATTTTCCCCAGGCAGCCGTGGCAGGAACATTCTTGAAGGAACATAATGGTTGCATGGTTATGATATCATATACCGAGAGCCTCAGACTGTAAACTTTCCCATCTGAAATAGTCCCCTCCCTGTTTTCCAGAGGCCTGGTGTACGTATTTGACGCATGGCTGGTGCCTCAGTCGTGGTTGTTGGAGGAGATTGCTCTGTTCCCCGTGCCTATATAAGGTCACCGAGTAGAGGTTGTTGTTGTTAAGTGCCGTCGAGTCGGTTCCGACCCATAGCGACCCTTAAGGTTTCCGAGGAGCAGCTGGTGAGTTTGTACCAGCAGTTCAAAGCGACCGTGCAGTCCAGCATGTTAGAAGACGAAATTAGTTGGCGAGATGAGCATTCTGACAAATTTGCTACTTTTCAATTTTTGAAACGTATTAAAGGATTCTCAAAGGGGGGCGCTGCAGATGGAGTTACAAAATTTTGCACCTAGATTTTTTTTTAATCATTAACAGTTATTACCTTTGAAGTAGAGAGTCAAAGTGATTTTTAATAAGAGACACAGACTGCAGTTAATATCATACACTATAAAGAAAGATTATGGAATTCTGGTATGTCATTGTGATTTAATGTGGGTAATGTGCCGTTATGGTATGGCACTGTGGGTTAATGTGGTTTAATGTGCCATTAGTTCAAGGTTGCTTTGAACTGCAAGGTCAGCAACTCAAGTTCACCAGCCACTCCTCAGAAAACCTCTACAGGGTCTCTGTAAGTCGGTATGGACTTGTTGGCACTTAAAACAAAGAAAGATTAATGCTATAAGAAAAAGGGGGACTGAGGCAGCGTATGCAAGACTGATTCTCCCCTGAGATGATCCTTGAACATAGACAGTTTTTCTGTTGTTGTTACATGCTTCTTTAAAGATAAAAGATTAAATTTCTTACTCTTTGAATTCTCATCTAGACTTTTCTGACTTTCAAGGTTTTCATTTAAAAACCCACCCATTCCTTGGAGATCTCGTTTTGTATTCTGTTTCTGGTTCTGGTTTTATTCTGGTTCCTTGTGGTGGAATAGGAACAACTGTTCTGTGTCCTCTGGGAAATTGATGTTTGAGTAGAATCTCCATTCACGTATTTCTGAGTTGTTGAAGCCCAGGAATGATCTGGTTTTAATGGAAGTTTAATTGTGTGTGTTTATAATAATAACAATATAAGTGGACAAGCATCCTAAGATGCATTCTAATTGAGAGTTTTTCAATTCTAATCACATGGAAAAACAAAACAAAGTTTCCTTAATATTGTGTGATCACAATACCAATTGTGTTAATTATACCAAACAGTTGTTGTTGTTGGTAGTGTGCTGTGGAGTCGGTTCTGACTCATAGCAACCCTGCATAGGGCTTCTGAGGCTATAAATCCTTATGGGAGCAGAAAACGTCATCTTTTCTCCAGTGAAACAGCTGGTAGTTTCGAATTGCTAACTACCAGCTTAAGGTTAGCTGCCTGACTTGTAACCACTGTGCTACCAAACAGTTAATATATGCAAAACCAAACTGGGTTTCCCATGTTATAAAATGTGTTAAAATGTTTTAATTTAACAGCACAAAATCCAGTGGGTTTCCATAAAGCTTAATTCAGCTATTTATATAGAAAATATTGTTTCAAAACTGTTATGTGGTATGTCTGAAGACTTTCAGGAAATAATGTTGTTTTATTTAGAGTTATTTCTGTTTAAAGTTTTTTAAAACGGACTGACTTTGAACTTTTAAAGGGTATTAATTACTATTATAGGCTAATTGTTACCCTATTAGGTTTTGTCATCTGCAGTTGAAAAAAATTGGACAACATTCATGTCTAAAACAGTCTCCACACACTCAAAAAAAGGACTCCTGATATGGCGCTATAGTATCAATACTAGACTGTGAACTACAAGGTTGGTAGTTCAAAACCACCAGCTACTCCTCAGAACCCTATACAGGGTCACCTAAGTCAGTACTGACTTTGAAAATACTGAGTAATTTCAAGGCCTATGCCTTTTATTACTCAGTCTGCAGCCAGGTATTTGAAATTACAAATGCTAGAAGCAGGACACCCAGTTGACTTCCTCCTGAGGCTAGCTCAGCAAGGCCCCCCATGGCTGTTGTCCATTTCCTTGGAAGAGGAAGGGCAGGCCTACTGGCAGGTCTGTCCAGAAGATCATCGCTGTCTCTACAATAGAGCATCGGGCTGTCTCAATGTTGGAGCTGAAGAGACTGGATTTTTACTAGATGTGGGAGCTGCCTTCTCTGTATAACTCCAAATCCAGGCCTTCTCTCCAGCCATGACTATACTATATATATTGAGGTCCATAGAAAGGAGCTCTGGTAGTGTAGTGGTTACAAATCGGGCTGCGAACCTGAGGGTCAGCAGTTCGAAACTACCAGCTATTCCACAGGAGAAAGGTGAGGCCGTCTGCTCCCATAAAGATTTACACCCTCAGAAACCCTGTATAGGGTCGCTATGAGTCGGAATCGACTCCCCGGCACATAACAACAACATAGAAAGCTCAAGGACACTCATCCTGAGGAGGACACACTTACTGAAAGGCATTGCTATATCTGTGAGCCTGAAAAAGATCTAGATAAATAATGATTCAAACAGCTTATGATAGAGGGAGGAATCTGAGCAATCTATTCGTTGCCTGCCTTTCCTATTTAGAGTCCATACCCATTATTGGAAAGAATTGTTCTGACCAGCCCGTACGCAGCTTAATATAGCCAAGCCCCTTCTATTCCCTAGCCAACATGGTTATACACCACCAAGTTGTTGTTGTCATGTGCCATGGAGTCGGTTCCGACTCATAGCGACCCTGTACAGGGTTTCCGAGGCTATAAATCTTTACGGGAGCAGAAAGCCTCATCTTTTTCCCACGGAACAGCTGGTAGTTTCGAACTGCTGACCTTGCAGTTCTCAGCCCGATTCATAACCACTATGCTACCAAGTAGCACTAGACTATTTGATGGCAAAACAAGATAGCGTATGTGCATTGACTAACACTTGTTACACTTACGTTGACATCTCAAGTGAAGTAGAGATTAGGGCTTTACAGCTCCTACAGCAGGAAAGTCCCAGTCCCAGATTTGGTATACGGAACCAGATCACGAGACCTGACTCCTACTTCTTTTTTGAGGCCGTTGGTGGACATTTTATTGCTATTAATCTTTGGCCCATGCATACTCAGTTTGTTAGTATTGAATTAAGATTTAAAATGTTTAATATTCACAAGCTTTTGCTTTTCAGAGAATTATGCATCTCTTTGAGGTCTGCTGAATTAACATGTTCATTTTCTTTCCCATTTGAAAAATTATATTGAATTGGATTTCTTGTCATTGAAATAACAAGATTTTCTCTTAATTATTCATGTACAAGTTTAATTCATTATTTAAATGATCTGACTTTCAGGACAAGGGTAAATTAGATTTTGCTAAGCCATGTGTATTTTTAAAAACACTAATGCTCAGTTTATTTTTCAGCAAGCTAATATAGATTCCAGCTAAAGAATTTTACTAAATGTGTTAAAATTCAGTTGTTTTAATTGCCAACTTAATCATAAGTATTTCTTTTAAATCTAGCATCTAGTTGCTTATCTACAAATTTAATTAAAATACTATTAATTTAATAATTTTACATATATAAAATTTTCTAAGGAGTACTGGTATGGCACTGTGGGTTAATGTGCTGGAATGCAAGGTTGGTTTGAACCGCAAAGTCTGCAGTTCAAGCTCACCAGCCACTCCTGAGAAACCTTTTACGAGGTTACTATGCGTGGGAACCCACTTGACGGCAATTAACAGCAACAACAAAGCTTTCTAGAAAGGTTGAGCATAGTATTTTAAAATATTTTCATTTAATGTGCCTTCTAAATTTTAATTTATTGTATTTGATTTTTGAGTCCTGGTGTGGTAGTAGTAGATGGGTACCCTCTAGTTCTGATCTCAGAGTCGTGGAGACTGACGTTCACATGTTCTGTTGAACTAACTGATCTCAAACATCTTCAATTCTCAGCACTCTTCTTTCTTCTGCACATGGAGAGACTAATAGCTGCATCTCACATGGCTGCTCCTGAACTATTAATCCCAGATGTTACTCACCAAAGGGAATCCTGATGTGGATAATCACATCAGGATAATAAGGATAAGCCCATGTGGATAAGTAGGATAAGCACAAGGTCTGTGATTCAAACCCACCAACCGCTCCTTAGAAACTTTATACAAGGTTGCTATGAGTCATAACTGATTCAATGGCAGTTAGCAACAACTCAACAAAGTAGAACATTGTCTTTGTGGACTGTGTTATGTCACTTGACCATAGTCTCTCCTGAGACTATTGCCCTGAGTAAGCCCCCAGGTCCAGCTACTCATTACCTTAAGATGTTTGATAATTT